TATATTTTCTTTGGTTTTACATTATCAACATGAATAAGCTTCATACAATCTAGACATATTCTCACATTGGCCTTATGGATTCTAGGTCTGTAGTAGTCATGATTGACTAGCTTAGAATTTCTGAATCCACCAAATAAACTATATACGTGATATATACTTCTTTTCTTTTCAGAGACCAGCTCTTGTAAAGGAACTCTGACCCGAATAGCCCATTGTTGTGGAGTTTCGTTGGGATAAATAACTGATAAAGTATCATATCATCTTTCAGTCTCAAAGAGTTCTTCAAAGAATCACCTATTCCTTGGAATAATGCACTTAAATTTCTAAACAAAAGCATAATAATGGAGGCATGATTTTCTATAGAGTATCGCAAGTCAGAAATAGAAAATATTACATCTGTAGCTCACAGTGTACATCGATATATATATTTTTTAAAAATAAAAAATGGCAATGCCATTGACCCCTTTCTTTATTTCATAAAAATGTTGCCAGAGCAACAATATACAAATAATGCGAATAAAAAATTATGGGTCGAAGACCCGCACTTTGTGCATATTTATTTTTTGTTTAGAAATTTTTGGAGTTTATTAAAATCTAATGAACCATCATTAGATCTTGTTCTCAAAATTACAGTATCACTTGACCTTGATCCATTATTTCGTATCTCTTCATGCTTTCCTAATGTTAATGAAATAAAAAACTTAATTCTGAAAAATATCGCTTTGGTAAAGTTGGCAAAACCAAAAGATAAAAAGGTTTCTTACTAGTTAGAGTAATATCCATGGGGTTTGGTTTAGATGGCATTGGGTTATTAGTCATGAGAGTAGTAGTGTCATAGGTGGTGGTGATGATGGTAGTAGTGGTGTCATTAGTCATAGGGGTGGTGTCATTAGTCGTGGGGTGGTGTCATTGGTTGTGGGGTGGTGGTATCGTTAGTACTGCTCATTTTTCGTTCCTAAATACAAAAAAATCATCATGAGTAAAAATTCGTTTTCATAGACCGTATCAAACAGTAAATACATTACTTTTAAAAAAATATATATGAGTAAAAAAAAACATTATTAATACCCACTTACAAGAAACAAAAAATCGCTTATTTTTATACTCTTCATTTACTAGATCTAAAAAACTTGCTAGAAAAAAGTTATATGATTAGTAATTGCGCTACTCTAACACTGCCAAATCACACTTAACAAAGCAATTCCGTTCAGTTGTAAGGCCCAAATACTGAATATATTTTGCTGTTTTTTAGCCCCTTTAGATTCAACAATCGGTACTGTGAAGTGAAAAAGTCAACGATCTCGACAATCTGGAAATTCTGAGTCCCCATAACATATGAATTTGGATAAAGCTACTGATAAAGAATGTTCTACTATTTCTTCTTATAGCATTTTTAAATCTTATTCGTGCTTGTCTTATCGCGGTATCATATATAACAAGAAAAAGATCCTAAGTATTATTCGTTAGTGTTATTAATAAAAAATCGACTGTGGGAAATAATTCTGCGAGAAAGTATCACAAAACCTTATACGTACCTGATTTTGTGTAACTAATGCAGTGTTAAAATTTTATCGATATGCAATACGAACTTTATTTTTTAACGTTAAATTACCTTAATATATATGTAGTTATGTCTCCTGAAAGGAGGATGCTTTGCATCTAAAATAACGCACATATTTGTTTCTCGAATATCCACAAATCTTATTCTAAATTTGTATTGCCATTTTTATAGTGAATCCAGAAATCGTATGCTGACTGAACATCTACACGATTTACCAGAAACGGAGTAATTTAGCGTATGATTAACATTCTTCTTAATGTAGTAATAAACTCGATAGAGTGCATAGGCTCAATTGCATATCTGCGGGGTAAACTTGAATGATAATGATTTTAGCCATTTTTATATATATTACAAAAAGTCCAACATGTATATTTCCCAATGACACAAAAATGAATTGCGATATTCATTAGTATATAGTTAATAAAATCTGTTAGGTCTATAAGAGTCATATAATCACC